GTTGCACTACAAAGTCACCAGTTCTCATCTTCCAGCTCCCCAGATACTCCGCGGACTAAAGTTGCACTACAAAGTCGCCAGTGCTCGCCTGCGTTTCGTCGCGCTCGACACGCGCGATCTCCGCAGAGGGTTGCGCGGGCACCGGACAAGTCGCACTCTCGCCTGCATTTCGCGCGCTCGACACGCGCGATCTCCGCAGAGGGTTGCGCGGGCACCGGACAAATCACACTCTCGCCTGCATTTTGCGCACTCGACACGCACGATCTTGCGGGGGCATAGGACAAATCGCACTCTCGCCTGCATTTCGCGCACTCGACACGCACGATCTCCGCAGAGGGTTGCGCGCGCATGGGACAAATCGCACTCTGGCCTGCATTTGGCACACTCGACACGCACGATCTCCGCAGAGGGTTGCGCGTCAAGTCTCCAAAACGAGCGTTTCGTACGAGACATGCTCAAAAACTCACACGTCAAAGTCTGCAAAACGAGCGTTTCGTACGAGACTTCCTCCAAAAGTCAAGCGGAAACACCCACCGGAGCACACACATCACGCAGCCCTGCCAAGCAGTTTCGCGATTCCAGCCCCTCCAAACAACATCCGCTCACACGCCAATCCCAATGTGACAGCGACATTCACATCTACCACAACTCACAACCTGACGATTCCCTGCACCTGCAACCTCACGATTCCCTGCGCCTGCCACGAAAAGTGACAATACCATCTCATGCGAGCTTCAACAAAATTTGCACCACACCACACGTTTGGAATGATTTCGACCCGTTCTGAGCACACTCCCATCCACCAAAATCGCCATTTCAGCTCAGACTTGTCACGAAAACCGAGCTTCGATGCCACACCCTGAAACGCAAATCTTAATGGCACGGCCACATCCAACACCCCAAAAACACGACTCTTCAAACGCTAATCCCAATGGAACTGCGCAGCAATCTGCGGATCTCACAAAACGCTGCGCCTGTGCAGCGAAATGCGTCACGTTTCTTGCGCGACATGTCATTGTCATGCAAATCACAATGGAATAGCGGCGCAAACTGACACGTGACACGTCCATGAAAATTTAGTTGCAAAAGCTTCCCCCAATGGCAGCAAATTTGAGACGCGACGACGACGACAAAACAACGACAAACGACGAGAGACGACGACAGACGACGACAGACGACGAGAGACGACGACAAACGACGAGAGACGACGAGACGGCGCAAGCCATGCAAACACAGCTCCAACCCCCAGACCCCCAACTATAAACGGGAACCCTTCGCTACGCATTCGGGAAAAAAGCACCTGGGACACAGCTGGCAACAAACCGCAATCAGTGCTCAGAAATAGAAATGTCCTTTGCTAATTTTTCTTGGCGTCGTGAGTGAGATGTAGATATGGTGCGGTGGACCTCTTTTTCAACACCTGTGCCCCAAAAGGCACGCCAAACATATGCAGGTGCGGTTCACTCCAAGTATGATGTGATATGGCACACATCGAACAATGCACCCCCGATTCGTCCAGCACCAAGTCGAGAAGTGTACCAAGTTCGGTCGAACCCCAATACCGGCATGCCACGCGAGGGCGTGGGAAAGGAAAACACTTCAGGTTCACCTGTGTTCCACTTTGTTCAACCGTGTTCTTGAGTCTTCATAGGTGGAAGTGGAGGTGGAGGTGGAGGTGGAGGAGGGTGGTGGAGGTGGAGGTGGAGGTGGAGGTGGAGGTGGAGGTGGAGGTGGTGGTGGTGGTGGAGGAGGGTGGAGGTGGAGGTGGAGGTGGAGGTGGTGGTGGTGGTGGTGGAGGTGGTGGCGGCGGCGGTGCAGCGGCGGCGACACGGCGGTATCAACTGGCGTGTGGAACGCAAGGTGGACCAGGCCTCGTGCATGAGGCAGAAAGCGGTCGACGTGCGGCGATCAGTGTCCAGGCGATCGGCGGTGCAAAAGACTCGATGGATTTGATGGTGACAAGCGGCTCCGGAACCTGCTCCGGAACTTCCTGCTCCCGAAGGGGATGCTCCATAACCTGCTGAACTACCTGCTCCGGGACGTGCTCGGGAAGCTGACCCGGAACTTGCTCCGTCGGCGTCCTGTATGCTCTTCGCTGGCTGGAGCCGTTTGCTTGTGCACGCACAGGCATATCACCACCCAGGAACTCACCAACGACACATCTGCTCGCACGCATCCCGGACGATGGATAGCCGGATTCGGGAGTTGCAGGCTGGGTCTGCCGAGTCTTGTTCAGGAAAGCCAATAGACTCGAAACTCCACACAACATGTGACAGCCCTGTGACGACGATCAGACCCTTTCCAACTGAGTTGACTTTTTGGTTCCTTCCTTGCACAAGGGGCCGGACTGCTGCAGGAAACATAAGACATGTAGAAGAGACTCATGAGCGCTTGACACTGCACATGACCCATCTTTTGGCCGTTACAAACTGACGCATCTTAGCAAAGTCGGCAGACTTGTATTGCTGCTGACTTGCCCTCCTGCAGCGAACGTCCTGTGTGTTCCATGCTTGGGATTTGCCTAAGGGAGCCAAGTGCTACGACGATCTTTCAACAGCAAATGCAACGCCAATGCAGTGGGGAGTTGAATGGTTGCTGCCTTTGCGGCCGGTGAGGAAGGAGAGCTGGATCAAAGGTGCAAAGCACCAATCAGCTCTGGCCAATCAATAAAGACTATCACTCGATGCAGGTAATACCACATGCTGTTGAAATGCACCGATTCAATTTTTGTAGCACACAGTCGGCATCCGTGTATTGCGCGCCAGCTACGACGAACCAAGCAGCGGTTAGAATTGGAGCAAGTGAGGTTCGAGCAGCAAATGAATGTGGCAGCGCCCAGTGTGGAATTCGCAAAGCACTCAGAAAGGTGGATTATCAACAACAAACTACACTTATGTGTATATATATATACAAATAGCATGTTTCTTCTGTTGTCAAGTGGGTCATACACATTTGCAGGGACCTCATCAATCTCCCAATGTAAATCCTTCAGATGCTTCGGTCCGCTCAAGATTGTATTCATATTCATTCAAGCCGTCTTTGAATTAACAGCATCGTCATTGAGTAATCCTTTTGCTTTTCTGTATATACATACATGTGTGCCGCACCTGTTTGGCATGTGTGATAGGGTTCAAAGCCAAGTAGTCTCTGGCAGATCATGTTGTTTCTTGAATTTTGTGTCGATTGCACAGTCAGCTATCCAGCTTTCAGCTTTGGTGGTGCTCCAGTTAAATTGTTTATATACTAGTAGCTTCTTGCTACTAGTAGTAATGCCAGGAGTTACTAGTAGCTTCTTGCTACTAGTAGTAATGCACTTGTTACTAGCACCCATTGAAGATGCATACTGACTGGGTTGGCTTGCATTTCCAGGCCTTTGCCTTGTCGGACTTTTGGCGGCTTTTGTCAAAGAGACCTACAACACTTCAGTGATCAATTGTTTTCTTATAAAGGTATTTAGAACGACAGGTGTCCAAAGGAGAAGAGAAGGATATGATAGTTGTGAGCTTATCAGGATTCAGCAGCATACCTACAGTAAAGGGAACCACTCCATCATCTTTACTATCTTTGTAATTATATAACTTCACAAACCGTGGCCCTTCGCCCGCAGGATGAGAGATGGGAGGCCTCATAGTGAAGTTGGTCAAGCGATAGAGCTGCCATCACAAACCACCTACAGTAATCAAAGCAGTTCTGTCATCCATAAGAACAGACAACCGGAGTCCTGACTCGTCTCTCGTCTCTTCAAACCATAGCCGCGAAAGAGAATGAGGCCAAACATGTAAAGTGTCAAATGGACAAAAGGAGCAAGCCGCACCGGCATGGTGCAAGGAGACATGTAAGTCCCCATAGCCATTGGACGACAAACACCGGGGCCAAGGTTCCACTCATCAACTTGCCGCACTCGAGTCCAGGGCAAGATGAAGGCAACGAGCAGCGAGGGCGAGGGGGCAGCAAGTCAGCTGCCCAATGGACGCGGCACCAGGTGTGACCAACTGCAAAGTTGCGTGCCGCTGTCCTTCGTGGTCAAAACCATCCCGTTGGACAAAACCATCTGCAACAGTGTGGCAAGAGGTTTGAGCTTGAAGCGCTCTGAACTCGTCCGGTTCAGCTGCAAGTTCTGTTGTCTATTCAGCGCTTGAAAGTGTTCGGAGGCCAGTGCTCAAAGGTGTGCTTGCCAATTGGTGCATACTCAGGCAGTTGGGACTGTGTTATCCTACTCTACAGATTTTGTCCCCCACATGAAGAGCCGAGGGTGCAGGTCAAACATTGACTCAACAAGTGTTTGGTGTCAAATTTTGTGGGTCGCAGAGAGTTGCTCTTCACTCCAAATTCACAGGAGCTTTCTTTTGCACGCCTTGCTGGTATCAGGCTTGCAGACTTGTAGTTTTGTTCTGTTTCGGAGCCTTTCTGGCAACTAGGAGAGCTGCTTGCAGTTCCTCTTACTTCCGCATCAAAAGGATAGTTCGAAGCTCACATCCCAGTTTCATGGTGAGTTCCATTCTGACAAATCAGAATTTCTGTGGCGTCGGCTGCGGAGTCAGGGATGCCAGGGGTGCTAAAACAGGCCAAGATAAATTCTTCCCACATGCATATCGCTCACTCCGTGGCTCTATTTTCTGCTTGGCTACGCTCCCGCTCCCAGTCTCAAAATCGCCCTCGGGGCCAACCTTGGCACAAAAAGGCTAAGGCTGTGTTTGCCACCGACACGGCTATGCGGCTAGGTACAAGCTCCTCGTTAATACTCTTTTGAGTTTACTCTTTAACTGCCACTTCCGGCAATGCTCTCTCACCAAGCCCAATGTTGCACGCTTGGCCGCAGGTGTTCGCAGAACACAATATTGTTCAGAATCTCCTCCTTTCTCTTGTCTTCCACCAGTCGACCATTCTGACCACAGGATGAGTCTTGGGCAGCGCTGCAAGCTCTTGGTTGTCAACCAGTCGCTGTTGGAGCAGCTTAGGCCCGGAGCACTCCCAAGCATATCTTGCGAAGGCGATGTTTTTCATGTGATGCGTGCTTCAACCTTGGTTGGCAATGCCATGCTCCAGCTTTCAGAAGTGAAGTGAGTAAAGAATATGGCTGTGCTTCAAACCTTGTGCCCTTGGCATTCTAAAAAGGAAAGAATAGATCCCCATGCATTTTGACCTGCAGCCATCTGGCTGGATCAGATTGGAAGCCGAAAAGCCCATTTCTTCACGTCACGGAGGGCTTTCTTGGCTTGGGACAAAGTGCCAAGACCTGCCATGATCTGAAGGAGGACAAGAGCACAAAAACCAAAGTGCTCTGATTTCATACCAAAAAGCGCACCACTGCCCTCTTCGTATTGATGCCAGCAGTGCCACCTGACAATGAGCTTGGAGATCGTCTCAAGTCAGCCGCGACAAAAGCAAACCAGCCGTCCAAACACACAAGCGCACATTCGGGGATAAACGTCCACTCGCGCATCTGGATGGCCTCAATGGCCACAGGGAACTGAAATACACAAATGCTCTTGTATGGTATTTGTGTTTGTGCGCCACACTATGTTTCCAAGAGCACTTTCAACTTTAAGATGTTCAGCAGGGGGTCCAGGCAGTTGTGAGTTGTCCCTGGACCAACGAAGACAGACTCACAACTGGTGAAGCGAGAAGGGACGCCTTCTTGTGTACCTGCATTAATTCTATGTTTCCTGTAAGGTGCTAGGTGATGCTAGTACGTTTGTTAAACAGTTCCGTTCTTCGGACCCTTTCGCCTTACCGTTTTTGCAAGTCATGGGCTAGGTATTCAGTTACTAAGTCATTTCTACAGAGCCTAAGTTGTTAAGGGCTAATGCAACAGCGAGCCAGTTACTGAAACTTATGCTCATTCATTTGAGCTATGTAACATGTATCTAACTGTCTACATGTACCTGTGTCACTCATCCTCCACAGGATCAACTCATGTTTATGTCAAACTCTGAAGCGATATCATGAGATGTCCCACTTTTGTTCACTACGCTCATGCATCATCTAGCTAGAGGCGTCCATGATAAACATTCTGAGCTCTAGATCAGAAAGGCATGTGAAGTCGCTGCGCACAGTCATTGAAACTAAATTCCTGTACGAATACAACTGGAAACCCAAGAAAAATCATCCAGAAGCCGTGGCGGCGTCTGTTTCGTCTTACTTCTAAACCAACTCGCCTGTAATCTGCTTGCATCCATGAGCGTCTCTCCCTATCTTCAAAACCTGTCTATCCTTATCTTCAAAACCTTGTGTATGTCTACAATTCATCTGCCCGATAGTGTTAGTCCGTCCCACTCATCCCGCTTGCATCTCCCTTATATATAGCTGCCTTTTGGTTGATTACAACGATTCTGATTGTCCTCAATGATTAAGCAGCAATTTACATCCAACACCCTTTTATCTTTGCGTTATCAATGATCAACACCAACAAATCCGAGAGTGTGGCAGGAAAGTTATTCTTCATGAACAATACATGAGGACATCCCCACAAGTGTTTTTCCAAGTCATTGGACGAATGGACCAGGAGCAGGAGGAGGGGCCGCAACAAGCCTGATATATAGTGGCCCTGATGCATCAACACAGCAGCCAAAACAAAAAGAGTTCCAGCTCACACAGCTGGAATTTGCATGCTGTCCGCTTGTCTATTCATTGAGTGAACGGCCAAGTTTTTCCAGGCGTTTGTGCAGGAGGACCTCGCGAAGAAGTCCAAGAATCGAACCTATCTTGGGCCAGGCGGCCAGGGGTAGGCAACAAACAGACTCATCAAGGATCAGTTCAAAGTCGCCAACCTCGCAGAATCAAAAAAGGGACAAAGGCCAAATCAAAGTTTGAATTGATGCTACAAGCACATGATTTGCAATGCAAGATTTGCAATGCAAGATTTGCAATGCAAGATTTTCAAACCGTTCAAAGGATTTGTGTTCCTTCGCACCTGTTTATTCTTGCAACTCAAAGTTTGCCTAAACTGAAAGGCTTGGTTCAGATGTGGCCCCAACCTGTAGGAGAACTGATGGCAAGGCACGCAAGCGACCCGCTGGTGCGAAGAAAGGGCTCGCACGCCAGTCTCGACCTCGGGCTCTCCAAAGAACCAACCGATCTTGTGAGTTAGTTCTAAGAGAATGGCCGTGCAATTGAACACCCCGACCTTGCGCGACAACACAAGTGTTGTACATGGTTTTATCGGAAAATGCATGGAGATCCTGTCTGCGCGTTGGTTCATATATATATATATATATGTTGTTGTTTGTTACCCCTCATGTTACCTACCTTTTGGCTTGCTGTAAGTGCTTATAATTTATTGCAGATGTAGGCTGTTTCAATACTGTTCCACCACATCTGTTGCCTTGAAAATTCCAATGCCCAAATCAAAGTTTAAAACAAATTATATATCTCAGCAAGACCCGAAACAATGTAGAGTAAAACAAAACAAGGATCAATCAGCGAACTGCCGCACTCTAGGGCACACAAATGAGAGCACAGGTATGAGAGCAAACATAAAAAGACACAAAAACATGAGAGCACACACTTATGGATATGCATACTGACTTGACAGTGGTGCCACACGCCAGCCTAAGAAACCCAAATCCTGAAAGGTCCAGGAAAGTCCTAAAGAGCATGGGGGTCTTCAAAAGGAAGCGAGGCCAAAAACTCAAGGCGGGTCCGATCCGACAGGGTGACGTCGTAGCGTGCAAGTCTGCAGAGCTCACTAGCCCTTTACAAAAGTTCAAAAGTTCGAAGAAAGCAGGTACGACGGAGTGGCCAACTCCGATATCACCAGATCAAATGGGCGTCTTCGTTGGTAGCGGTCCCAAATGATCTGCCGCTACCCCCTGCTGAAGAAAAAGAAACAATTCAACGGAATCCCTGTGACTACAAGGGGCACACACACACACGCCTCCCCTAAGGGAGGCATATTTTGCTAAGCGCGGGGCCGGAAGGTTAGGTGAGACTAATTAAATTGTCGAAGTTCTCGGTAGGTCTGATAGGCCGTCAGAGGGAGTCGTAGTTGGCAAATGGCATCATCATGTAGGCGAGGGGCGACGGTATGTAGAGGTCGGTAGGGGAAGGGAGTAGAATCTCGTGGATATTCATTGGCAACACCAAGAGGACGAAGCCTTCGGGAGTTGACATAGTAGAGAACGAGGTCCTCAAGTGCGCAGGTATGTGGGACTTCCCATATACGAGAGTCGCCGGTAGAAGGTAAGGCCATCCAAAAGGCTGCGCGCTGCTGTCCCAAACGGGAGTAGATCACATCTTTGAGATCACCGACCGTGTACTCCTTGGTTTCAAGTTGGAGGGTGTCGAGGGTCACGGTGATGTAGTTGAGCGGTTGGTAAACAAGTAAGCTGATGTCCAGTTCAAATGGAGAGATTTGGAACTTGATCAAGGGTTTCAAAAGGTTGACGTACATCTCTCCATGCTGTGGGTATCAACTGGGTCAAGGGTTCAGGAACACGAAGTCCGGGTGAGGAGATCATCGTGGAAACGCGGGATCACCAAAGTCAAACAGAGCCAATGGCTGCGGAGAGGTGCAGGTAGGGAAATGGGTGGAGTGTAATGAGGGGAGAAACAAATGGAAATATGACAAGGATAAAAGGAGCAAAGCAAAGGTTGTTTTCGAGCTGGAAAGGTTAGACTCTAATGTACAGGGGAAGCACGTACGGCCTCAACCCGAGGAAAGTGGCCTAGCACTCGTGGCAATCAGTCACGCTTTCCGGTAGTGGGTGGAAATAGAGGCGCCAACGTGTTCTGCGGCGACGTAGAGGAAGATGTCAGCGACGTAGATCCCGAATCCGGAACGGGGACTTCCGGACCAGTAGCTGCAGGGGTGAACGGCAACTCGTTGTCGGTGGGAGCAGGATGAGTCTCAGCAGAAGGCAGTGGTGAGGAAGTGTCCGGATTGGTGGGGGGATCCTGTTGATCGATTGCATGGCTAAGTTCATCATGATAAGACGTCAAGGTATACAGTAGGCCTTCAATGACTTGTTGTTGTTGTTGTTGAGGAGCAGGAAGGTTTCGCAATCCTGGTGCGTTGGAGACGTCGAGCTGAGAGAAATGCTGAAGGAGATTGTCGAGCATGTATTCCACACGAGTATGTTCAAGATTGTCAACAGCTTGGCGTTTGCGTCCCCTGGATGAGCGGTAGGAGTAGGGTTTTGTGCTGTGAGGCGTTGCTCCTCAGCGAGAATGGCTCGTTCATAGCCCTCACAAGCCTCCCAAATCGGGAGACTTTGATTTGCTCCCACGACTAGCTGCCAACCTCGGGTACCCCATACCCGATAGCGTTGATCGGCCGAGTTGGAATAGGGGTGCGTGTCGGGAAAGTAGCCATGGGTGGACCGAAAGTAAGTACATCGTCGTTGTCCCAACGAATGGTCTTGCGATGGAACCATGCTCGATAAAACCAGTATCGAGAAGCGCCGTAGTTGCGACATGCCCATTCTTCATGAGGGGCAGCGACATAGAAATCACCATGATTGCGGGCATGGACCTGGTTGGCATACTCGGTGTAGTCCTCGTTGTACTGGTTGTCAACCCGACGAAGGCCAGGTAGAAGGGTAGTGTCCAAAGTGGTTGTATCGAGATAAGTGGTAGAACCTGGGGCCAAATCAACTACAACACTGGAGCCATCTTGCCCAAGTGGGAGTGCAAACAGGGTTGAAGTCTCCACCTGTTCTGCGGACAAGGGGAAGTCGTCGGCAGGAGCGTGAGTTGGAGAAGAGCCCTCTGAAGTCCTGGGCAGTGGTCTTGTCCATGTCGATGAGGGAAGCGATAAACGGTGAGTCTAAACCAAAGACCTGCGGAAAGAAAGGGTAATGTAGTCCCTTGATTTAAAAGGCCCACAGAATAATGATACTTTTTTTCCTGCACAGATTTATAAAGGCCCCCAGAATAATGTCTTTTTTGGAGGAGTAGTTGTAGTGGGATATATTTTATTGTTATAGTTTACTTCTTCCCTTTTGAGTTTGCTGGGATTTGCTTTTTTGGATGGAGATTTCTATTAAACATTTAGAGATTTCCATTGAGATTTGAGGCGTTAAATCTTTATTCCTTTTCTTTGCCTTTTGATTTGCTTTACTTCCCTCTATTCCTTTACATTCAAGCAAAGGGGATAGTCCAGCAAGCAGCTTTCTGACATTATTTTGGGGGGGGCTAGAATAATGTCTAGAGATTTGAGGCTTTAAATATTTATTCCGTTTCTTTGCCTTTTGGTTTGCTTTACTCACCCTCTATTCCTTATTTACTTTTCCTAAGCTCTTTAGTTTTGAAGCTTTCCAAAAGTTTCCAAAAGTCAGTGCGCACTTTCTTTACAAAATCTCTTATTCAAAAGTATTGAACAAAAATCATTCAAGCAAAGGGGGTAGTCCAGCAAGCAGCTTTCCGACATTATTTAAGGAGGCCCTAGAATAATGTCTAAAGACTTGAGGCTTTAAATCTTTATTCTTTTCTTTGCCTTTTGATTTGCTTTACTCACCCTCTATTCCTTGTTTACTTTTCCTAAGCTCTTTAGTTTTGAAGCTTTCCCAAAGTTTCCAAAAGTCAGTGCGCACTTTCTTTATATAATCCCTTATTCAAAAGTATTGAAAAACAAAAAATCATTCAAGCAAAGGGGGTAGTCCAGCAAGCAGCTTTCTGACATTATTTAGGGGTGGCCTAGAATAATGTCTAGAGGTTTGAGGCTTTAAATATGTTTTCCTTTTCTTTGCCTTTTGATTTGCTTTACTCACCCTCTATTCCTGATTTACTTTCCCTAGCTCTTTAGTTTTGAAGCTTTCCAAAAGTTTCCAAAAGTCAGCGCGCACCTTCTTTATAAAATCCCTTATTCAAAAGTATTGAAAAACAAAAAATCATTCAAGCAAAGGGGGTAGTCAGCTTTCTGACATCATTGAGGGGGGGGGGCCTAGAATAGTGTCTAAAGAGTTGAGGCGTTAAATCTTTATTCCTTTTCTTTGCCTTTTGATTTGCTTTACTTACCCTCTATTCCTTATTTACTTTTCCCAAGCTCTTTTCTATTGATTCCTTTTGGAGATTTCCATTGAAATTAAAAAAGTTAGTTCTATTTCCATTGATTCATTCCCTTTTATTGTAATTAATATTCCAGATGTCTTCAAAGTTAGGTTTCTTGATTCCTTTCATTTTAGTATTGCCAGAGTAGCTCCAGAGGTAGCTAGCTAAGGGTTCCTTATTTAATTATCAATTGATTGATTTTCTTATACATTATATTGGTGGCCTTGGTTGTTGGGCGGGGGGGGAGGGGGGGGAGTTTATAAATCAAGGGATACATTACCCGGAAATGATGTCAACAAGGCAGAAAGAAGGAAGCAAAGGTGAGATCCCTCGATTTTCTCTCGCTGGACGCCTGAGTGGCGTGGGTTGAAACAGAGAAAATGAGTTAGTGAATTAAGGCTTGGCCTCAGGTAACCGAAAAGCCAAAGAAGGACGTGGAATGAGAAACCGCACGCGCTCCCCGTTGGGTTTCAGTATGAATCAAAAAAGAGTCGAGGACGTGGGCGGGGTAGTAGACCTCGATGTAGACAAAGTGGAGCTTGAAGGAGGTCCTGAGGAAGGTAGAGCCGCGACCTGGGAAGTAGTCGTCACCGTCCGCAATGAGGGAGGAGGTTCTGTGGGACGAGCTTTCTTCGGGAAATTGGTGGAGGCAATAACAGGTTCCTCTGAATCTCGAAGGTGTGAGGCAATCGAAGGACGAGGTTTGCTGGTAATGGTGCTTGGTCGCGTTGTCGTCATCTAATGAAAGGAAGGTGGGAGTTCAGGACAAGTGAGACGTGTGTTTGAGCCAAACGACTGTGAAGCCAATACGAGAAAGGGGAAGGAGATGTGGACAATGTGAAGTGAAATGAATTGAAATGCGCAAAAAGACGAAAGGAGAAGTAGAGCAATATTTTGTCCGGGGAATTCAAGATCTGAAGTCAAGCCGGTTCAAAAGTCGAAGACGTGTTCAAAGTTGGTGATCAGGATGTAGCAACACGTTGAAGATCGAGAAGGTCAGTCCAGCGGGCTTGAATCTGGGACAAAGGTTGCTGCATTTTGCGAGCTACATATTGCCAACTAGGTCGGAGTCGTTCGTTGCATTTGAGGTTGAGAAGTAGGTCATCATCTTTTGCGCGGGAAGAGGGGGAAGAGGGA